AGTGTTCACTAGATGGCGGTACCGTCTCCTGTATGTAGCCACCTCTCGTTTAATTCTTGTAGTGTTTACTAGATGGTGGTACTTGTAGCTGATGATGAAAAGATGCAAGATGTTATAAACTAGAAAGCGGTACTTGTCGTTGATGAAAGACGCGAGATCTTATAAAATAGGAATGATGTCACATATGGCGCGTGTCATTGGTTGAAGGCAATCGTTCGATTTAGTGCGGCGACGTACGCTAGGGGGAGCGATGTAATAAAATCGAGTGGGCAAAATGTACAGAGGATTCATGGTTTACCAGGTTTACCTCCGGAGCTTCGCCCACTCATCATCATTCACTTCGTGGATGTGGCGGCACTTTTTTTCTTTTTGAGTTCCATTAAAGCCTTCTATCTGGCAAGACATGTTTTTTTTGCTCTATGTGAGACGTGCCGCAGCAGTAAGGCTCGGAGGTCCAACACTGAACACATAGCACACATGATGAAACACGTAACGTTGCTAAACTGTGGCAGTAAAGCGGGAAGTAGCAACATTTCGTCTGATATGCAAATGAAAATGTGAATTATGCAGTCATGTGTGTGCAGTAAAATGAAAAATGCTTCTACGATTATACAAGTTGTTTGGTTGTAATGTCTGAAGAAATGTCTCAGTGGGATAAATGATGAACAAGGAGGTCGTTACATTCACACTCGTCGTAGTGAAGGGCGAGGTAGGGTGTGCTGGGCTGTCCTTTCAAACGAGTCATGTGTTCCCTTCTTCTTTTATTCCCACTTACCTGTGTTAACTATGGCGTGCTCATGTCTTCAATTACTTTGTGCCCTTCAGTTTGGGACAATATAGGTCTGAGGTTTAAGTTAATAAAACTTTTCGTTGAAAGCACCTCTCCTTTATCTCTTCTCAGTCTCTGTGTCAGTGTTGCCAACTGCCTGGTTCAAAATACCCTACATGAATGTCAAAATTACCCTATAATACCCTGCAGAAGTATTTTTTATTACCACACATTTTAGCCTGTGCCTAAAATAGCACAATTTATCTATATTATGCAGACTGTGCTTTACTGTACGTCATGTAGGACAAGTACTGGTGGTGAATTTGGCAGCGACTTCAGCTTTACCAGTCAGACGTGCGAATTAGTTTCCAGCGGATGCTAAGGTACTGAAAAGACAGTACATGAGAAGAAAAAGCGTTCGGGTATTTGTATGGAAAAGCCTTCACGCGCAGAGTTCAAACAAGCAAAACAAACAAAAATGACTTCCGCATCTTTCCACGGGGGGGGGGGGGGGGGGTAGCTAGAGCAAATGCGCCGCAGAGGGTTGGCGGGGTGTCGCCTGAATGTTGCGTAATTGGGTTTGGGTTGGGATTGCTTATTGTAATTTCGTCTTTATCATTCCTATTAGTTGAATGAAGTGTTGCCATTAACGAGTGGTGGGATACTCATGTGCGATCCAGTGCCTACGTGTACGGGGTGGCCAGTGAACGGCTGTGCAGTTCCAGCAGTCGGTTTTTACTAGCAGACGCTGCGTGCGACGGTCTGGTGAGGACGAGAAACGGGGAGCGGGGGCGCGAAGCAAACATTCAGCACGACACACAAGGCCGATGCACGATGTGTGACATCGTTCTACTGAGAAATGCTCCGCATTAAAAAAATTACGAGGCTCATCACAAAGTGTACGGCTGACCGTGGGTAAGCAAAAATATTGCAAAAAATTGTTTTTTTTCTTTTGGCACAACTGAAAATCTGCGGCCTTTTCTGAATCTGCGGCATTTTCTGAAGCTAAAACGCGCGGAAATGAATAGCAATAGATTTTTGACAGTTTTATAGGTAACGATATTTGGTCTGGCAACAAGTGCTTTATCTGCAGAGTCAGTGTTTAGCCGCAGGTAAAAGTACTTTGCGGGCGTTTTTTCACACGTGTTGTTTGCGCGCGTTGTTTCGCGGAGTTCCAAAACGAATGCTGGCTTAGCCATTAAAAAATAATAGGTAGCTTATAGAGGACATGCGAAAGACTGTCTGGGCCACATATTTCCACATGGCATCAATCGATACGTATCCATCCCATGGCCTTTGCCCGAAGAACGCTGATTCGTGGTGCGAAATTCTACAAAGCCCAGTTCAGTGGGGAACCATACATTCACAAAGAATATCTTCCGCCATCTGCTTCTTAGGCTGTTTAGCCACTTTATGAGCAACTTGCTAATCCCGAATCAGTTCCGTTTTTCCTCCATTTAAAAGCTCAAAACCCAAACGAGTCGTTCAACAATCTCGTGTGGAAGCGCGCTCCAAAAAACGTCTTTCTCGGACACCCTAAACTAAAAATATGCAGTCGTGAGACTGTAATCACTTTTAATGATGGCAATATAGCTCGTCTAAATGTGTTGAACTCGTTTGGAATTTCACCGCGTCGCTACATAATACAGGGCCTACGTGCACTTGGCCTGCGTTGACAGTACTTCGCTGACAGGGCTGCGAATCATGCAACAAAGGAGACCCGCCAAACCAGACGGCTCTACTAGAAAAAAGTGATATTGGTGATGAGTATATGGCTGGTGCCTAATAAAATACCCTAAATTGGCAGTTATTTCGTGGTACTTTTCAGTTGAAGCATATTTCTTCAACACGATTATCTCAAAGCATGCCTTCTTTGTACTAATTTATCTTTTTCTCGGCAACCACTGTATCTGGAAACATAGATTACAGCCAGTGTTTAGAGGACTTGCCAGAGAATATATTTAATCTGAATTATTCCTATGTGAGGAAGTATTTTTTAACATTAATTACTGATTAACGAGGGATTAGTAGGTACCTTGAGTAATAAAACTATAAAAAACATTAGCATTACAAGATACAAGGATATTTCTGTTTCAGTGAGAAGAGGAATGGCATATGATCACAATGATAGTAAAATAATCACTAACTTTTATGATTATGAAGAAAAGGGTACAGAGAGGGGGCCTAAAATAGAAGGTAGGTATAGACTTACCATGGTCCCTAAGCGAAACACCAAAGAGACTCAAAAGACACATTGAATTGCGGTGATGAGAAGCCGGCGCTCGGAAACTTCCAGAAGTGCAAGGACGAAGCAAGCTATAATGCATTTTATGATAATTAAGAGGGAAGTGCTTTGAAGTTTGGACAGGTTGGGTTGCCTTAGAACTGGCAGTTATCATCGAGATTAAGGGGAGAAACGGACACAGGGGGGAAAGCAAGTAAAGCACACAGCTTTTGTGTAGTATGTACCAAGTATACACTTTGGTGTAGGTACTTTCACACATGTGGCCTTGAACAAACTTAAAAGAGTGAACGGCTAGGTTGCAAAAATAAATAAATGACGACTGGAGGATTCGTTTAGCAAAAGTTGTCAGAAAAAGGAACAAGGAGCAGAGAAACTAAGGTCAATATGCGATAAGGCACAAAAAGTTGGACACTGTATTAGGCAATGAAGTAATAATAATAATATTAATTTAGGCTTGGTGGAGTGCAGGTCACGACATCGTTTAAAAAGGACTCCTCTCTTCAATCGCATCGACCAAAAAAAAATCCTATGCTCCCTAAAGCATTGAGTAAGACGTCTGAAAGCGAAAGCCTTTTTTTTTATAGTAAACTGTTCTACGCCGGGGGTTTGTGACGGCTCCACTGACGTATTTTTCTTCAGATATGACTTTGAAAAATATATGCTAAAAGAGTTGCAAAGAAAAAAAACACAATGGTAAAGTTTTCGTCATGGAGCGTCTCAGCGCTCCGCACTAACCCTAGGCGACAAAGCATACGTTGTCAAGATTGCTAAGGGCAAGCCATTTATATATACCGTTTGGTAGTCCTCATAGGTCTGCGAATTCGGCGCGTTTATGTAATCAGTAGCGATTTGTCATGAAAGGCTTGCATTACGCGCTCTATAGATTGCTGCCTCTAGCAGTTTGACGAGCGCCGCTTCAGCGGAGCATGTTTCTTTCGCAGCGCACGCTTATGAAACAGATTTCGGGAGAACACCGAGGTCTCGCTTCCGCGGCAGCATTTATGAAAGGAGCACGCTGCTCATACATGAACAAGTAAGACTTGTGGTGGAAGTTGTTGGCGCTTATTCTGTGTACACCTGCACGTTTGTTTCGTGCTTCTTTTTTTATGTGAAGTGTCGAGCTGGGACAGTTGTTGGTTTGCGCACGTACTGTGTATTCGAATTTTGTGCGTGCTTTCTGCTTGAGGTGCACATTTCAAGTTTCAAGTTGTTTGTCGTTCTTCGAATGACATTAGGATTTGTAGCTGTTACACTAATTTCTTTGCCCATGTGACGAAACAATGCATAATAAATGCACAACTGCTTCTGTGAAGACTCATTCTACTTTCGTATAATCCCGGTTCCTAAAGAGAGAGATCAGCTACATTTTTTCCCTTCCCCCCTTCAAAAGAACCTTGCATGTAGTGTGTTTTGGAATTACCTCTGATGTCGGAAACATTGCAACATTTTTTCAACTCGCATGCATCCGAGATTGGCCCACTTGTGACAAAGTCACCATATTTTGGAATGACGTCATGATTTCACGCCATATTCTGATGTCATAGTGATGCCACTGTGGCATAATAATGTACGTCAGACGTTATTCTAGCCATTTGTGACTTCATAAAGTGACATCATTAAACGACAATGAGTTTTTGCTTCACACGTGTTGATCTTTATGGTCACTTATCTTATTTGATAAGACATCCAGGTTTTTCGCCCTAACAACTGAATTGAACCGGCGCCCCAAAGTGCAAGAGTATTCCGAGCACCGAATGCATGTGCGATGACCGAAAAACAAGAACCATCCACAAGAAGAAACAAGAATGCTAGGGAAAAGTGTTTGGCAATGTTCTTCGTCTCTGCCCTCCTATGGTGATTTGTTAATCAAGGTAACTATCTTATCAAAGAAACAATTTATTTTCCAGTGGATTGATAAAAAACGTTTATTACAGAGAAAAAAATGTAATGAGGCTTAGAAACAAGTGGGTGGGGCCCCTATTCCAGGGCTTCACTGGCCTCAGCAGCCTTCCACGCCTGGTCCAGGAGCGCCACTTGGGCATCCTTTTCCTCGCTGGTGAGCAAGGTCTCCCACTGCTCAATCGTGAATTCTTTCACCGAAATCTGAGGTGTATTAATTTTAGCTGGCCTTAACTTACATTCCCATGTAATGTGCGCAAGTGTTCGCTGTCCTCCACACCAGAGGCAAGAACTCGCGTATGCGGTTGGATGCATCACATGTTTTAAACGCAGGTGCGGATATGTATTTGTCTGCAGGCGGCGCGACTCATGCGCTTATTTTACACTCAGCCGAGATCGGGGTGATGAGTATCGCCGTCGTCAACGCTGGTGTTCTAAGATATCTGAGGGGTGTGGGGAGTCAGGAGTAGCAAACGGGTATCTGGACGAGGAACGTTTGCTCGGTGAGTAATCGCTCAAGCTGCACTGTCTGCTCTATCGTTACACGTTTCCGCTACATGTCCGGGGCACCATATGATGCAGTGTTCCTGGTTTTGTGTTGCACCTCGGTGGCGGGCGACGCACGCAAGTACACGGTCGTTAGTGAAATATCGGCAGACTATTTGAGAGTTCGGGAGGATATAAAGTTGCTGTTCCATAACGTCTTTGATTTTGATGCGAGTGCTACTGCGACTGCTTCCGCCGTGTCCGCTGAGTTCATCTTATGCGAAGCACAGGTGAATAAATCCAGGCTGCTGATAGCTTTGGCAATGTAACAAAGAAATGTGTTGCGTCGACCATCTACATTTTTCGGTGATTGATGCAGACAGAAAAGTAGAAGTTACCGTACATATGTAAGAAAACTGTATTACCGCCCTACTACGCCATGCTGGCAAAAAAGTCTAAAACCTACACTGCAAGGAGGGTAACTCCCTGCTGTTGGCAACCCTTCCCTGTGTTTTTTTTGTGTGCTTTCTATTGCTTGTGCATATGATAGAGATGCCTGGCACAACGCACTGAAAATTATGTACTGCATAGCTTATAGCCGTGTATCGCGCCACGCAGGCAGAACTGTATAACATAGCCCGGAGTAGTATGGTAAAGTGATGGTGTGGAGCAGGAGAAGGGAGAGAGTGGGTAAAGCCACGTGTTGTATATTCGCGTAAGAGTGGAGGAGATGGATGTGGCAATGAGGAAGAGGAGGGACGAGATGGTGTGGGGGTACATCATTGGACAGCCACGTAAGGCGTGGCATAGGTGCAGCTATAATAATGTAGCCATAATTATGTAGTATATGAGGGTAATGGGGTGGAGAACATTCTGCAAGTACTCTCAAATTATTACTGGTAGATTGACACTATCTCTCAAGAAGATATAAAACAGCTGCATCTTGCCTGTACTTACCTATGGAGCAGAAACCTGGAGGCTTACAAAAAGGGTTCAGCTTAAATTGAGGACCACGAAGTGAGAGATGGAAAGGGAAATGACAGGTGTAACCTTAAGAGACAAGAACGAGAGCAGAGTGGATCGAGGAACAAACCGGGGTTAGGGATATCATAGTTGAAATCAAGAAAAAGAAACGGACATAAGCCGGGCATGTAGTGCGTAGGCAGGATAACCGTTGGTCACTAAGGATAATTGACTGGACTCCCAGAGAAGATAAACGGGTTAGGGGAGACTGAAAGTTAGGTGGGCAGATGAGATTAAGAAGGGTTTGGGTATAAAGTGGAAGCAACAAGCACAGGAACGAGTTGACTGGCAGATTATGGCGAGGCCTTTATCCTGCAGCGGACGTAGTGAGGCTGATGATTATGATGCTGATGGTATGATGGTGGCAAAGGGAAGAAAGAGGTGAGCAGAAGGAAAATAAACTATTTTGTTGTCGTATACGGTCGTCTCATGACGGCGCTTGTCGTCATGCAGGCCAACCATGTATACCATGTCCATTTATAGCAAGGTGGTCGGGAATGATTTTCTCGTTTTTCACAGCATTGCAAGGCTGTTTACGCCTCAGCTCAGTTTTCAATTTTAGAAATGTACACACTGGATTGAATGGATTTTTTATGAACTTGATGTGGTTCGTAAACAGATCCAAACCTTTTTTTCTTCGTTTTGCGTGGACAATAATTGACTTTATTCTTTAGACCAGATGAATGTCCGTCGAAGCACTCATTTCCTATTCATGATTTTATTGCCACACCACCTAACATGAGGGCACCTACATGATTTTGTATACCACGATGACCGTATTTGGAAGGACGCAATGTGCACAAACGCATACGTACTAAAACCATTATATCGGGTTCAACGTCCCCAAACCACGTTATGATTGTGCTCAAACTTGGGTGCACGTTAAAGAACCACGGTATCATTACGGAAAACACCATAGCGGATGGCTCCCCTAATTTGGACCATCTGCTTTCGTTAACGTGCACTAAAACTGCAGAGCACATAGGCATCTTGCATTTCGCCTCCATCCAAATGTTACCGCCGCAGCTGGAATCTAACACACGACTTTCAGGTCAACAACCGCGAGTACCATAATCGGTGCACCGCAGTGGCGGACATGCTATCAAAAAAAAAGGTGGCGTAGTAAGGAACCCCACGGTGTACAATAATGCACCGGGTAAATGGTGCTTAAGTACCATAAGGATAATGTTCTAAAGATAGGCATTTAATTTCGTATTTTGTATAGGTGCTATCTTTTACCTGTAAATGTAACCCCCGCCCCGGCACATAGGAGCGCGTTTAAAGACTATAAAAATAAATGCGATAGCTTCTGCTCAGCTGCTTAAAACTGATGAATGTGACGTTTTTCCATCAACGAATTGTTTCATGATCGGATCAGCTTTCACGAAACGTTTGCAGACTTATAAAAAATTTGTCTTTGTTTCGTAATTTTTCAAAGAGCAGCATGGCGCTAGATACCTTCAGAAACTTGGCCTCGCCGTGGTGGTCTAGTGGTCAAGGCACACTAGGGGCTGCCGACACACAGGTCGTGGAATTGAAACCTGGTTGCGGCAGCTGCATTTTTGATGGAAACGAAAATTCTGTAGGCCCATGCGCTCAATATGAGTGCACGGCAAAGAACCCAAGATGGTCGAAATTTCTGGAACCCTCCACTACGGCATCTCTCATTATATGGTGGTTTGGGAACGTTAAAGCCCACATAGCATCAACCTCCGAAAACTTGCCATTGGCAACTAGTTCCTTCGATGTGCGATTCAGCACCCTCGCACACAACCACACAACCGATCATACATACTTGCTACCGTTCCATCGAACAGTTGAAAGTGTGCACCTCGAATTATTTCGAATGAGGACATGAAAGAGTATTTTGAATTAGGGCCTATGTCAGTGTGTGTGTTGTAGCAGTGTGTCTAAGTGCACTCCAGAAGATTTGCCAGTGTGTGCACAGAAACGTAGTTCGAATTTTTTCGCCTTTGCAACCGCAAGTACCCCATTTACGCTATGACCTATTTGCAGGGCACCATCCAGCAGCTGGAAAGCATATTCTTGCAGGTGGCCTGCTCGCTGGCTGTGGCCGAGCTGGAGCTCGAGTTCGAGCACCGCGATCTTCACTGCGACAATGTTCTGGTGAAACGCACAGAGCAGGACTGCATCAAATTCATGCTGAATGGTCGAGAACTGCTGGTGCGCACTGCCGGCGTCAAGGCTTCAATCATTGACTACACACTGTCGCGCATGCGCAAAGGTAAGCACACCAACTTCAAACTGTTTTTTGTCATTAACGTCAGTTCAATGACAGGAGTTGGAACCAGCGTGGCTTGCAGCTATTCTAGTTGACATCAAGCGGGAAAAAATGACCTGGGCTGACCACGCAGTGTGAATAACTGAAAACTGTGGGTCAGTAATAGCAAGATTGATTACCTGAGGGGTGGGAAACTCAGTTCGAAATAGGTGGAAAGTTTGGTGGAGTGAAGAAATTAAGAAGTTCGCAGAGATGAAATTAAATAAGGTCGGTCAAGATAGAATAAACTGGAGATGTTCGGGGGAGTCCTTGGTCTTTCAGTGGACTAAAACAGGCTGTGCACGATGTGTTGAACTATCACAAAGAGTCACAGCTTTGCTGCAAAGGCGAAGCATTGAACGTGAAAGCAAGAAATTGGAAGGTCACACGAAGAATGGCAACCAGATCGAAACGTGCCTCGCGTTTCTCACGTACAAATGACGCACTGAATGCATTCACAAGCACAAATGAATGCGGATAAGTGTCTCAGTTGTTACTTCTCTGTGTCTGAAAAGCACGCCCTTTTCGCAAAGGGAGACTGTGCAATGAGTGCAGTGACCTTTTTGCGCCCGGTAACTACTACAGAATTGTTCCAGTGAAAGCCCAAGGTGTACCATTGTCCGCACTTTGAGATAGGTGAGCATGCCGAGATGAGTAGAGGGTACTTTGCCCTTCTCCATGGGGGCAAAGTACACATTGGAGATGAGAGCACGCGCAGCCACGACGTTACAATCTCGTGACCCAAGCTTATTGCTCCATCTCGCTCGTAATGCTGAGAACACGATAGTTCTCCCGCCAGCGGTAAGTGGTAGATATAAACAGGTTGCCGTTTGAACGTTGAAGCAGGTGCTGCTCCTTCGTGGCTCAGTAGCTAAATCCTTGCACTCCAAATTCAGCGGTCAGAGTTTTGATTCCGCGCGCCGGAGTGTATTTCTGGTTTATTTTTATTTTTTGCGTTTTGACATATGTAGATACACATACATATACGGCGATAACATCGATGCCGATGCCGGCGTCACAATCCCGCCGAGTGTGTCCATATAATCGCTATTTCAATAATATCGAGAGTACGGGATGACTATAGCCGGCCTGCAAAACTTGTTGGTGGAGTGCAGTTACTTTTCTACTAATACGACGACTAATGGGTTGTGCTATGAAGTATGTCGGGTGAGTGACCGCTGTGATTGGGCCTGTAGAAAAAAGATCCAGATCTAACGGATGTTGCACATACAAAAAATGCTTACAATGAGCTTGTAAAACGGCTCGAAACCGACCCTGTACAAACAGTAGGAGGCCTGTAAACACCGCTCTATTTTTCATGTGAAGCGGTTGTTCTAAGAAGTGTTGTGTAAAAAAATAAGGCAGCTTCGCATTATTGCCAAGGACGAAGGAAGGTGAAAGCTTGAAGCCACTTCTCTTTCTTCAGTTTTTTAGTTTTTTCTTTCTTTCTTTTGAAGTTTTTGTGTTTTACCTTATATTTATAATAATTTTTGTATTTATTGCCAATGTTTACATTCTTTTGCCTGCCCTTCTATTTCTCTCTCGTTTTTTTCATTTTTTTTCCTATTTATATACGATGTTTCGCCTGCGCAAATCTAAGCAACGATGACAATGTACGACAGAAAAGGCCCATAAATTATTTGCGATTAGGAATGGGATTTTCTGCGCTACATAGTAGACCGCAAAACATTTTATCATACTTTGGGCTCCTCCTAAACACGATGTGTACAGAATACATTGCGTCAGCTGGAGTTTCTTAAGAGTTACTCAAATAAATGTTTATACGGTTATTGATCAGTTGGTTGTCTTCAGGCGTGTTTTAAACCTTACTATCAGACGGGTGAAAAAGCACACATGCCGCGTCGTTGTCGTCGGGGTAAGTTTATTGCAGCTATAGAATACCGCCGGCAATTTCAGCCTCAGACCTTTAATGTGCTCCGATGGCCACTTGTGGGTACGCTTTGAATGCAAAGTAAAAAAAAAATTTCCTGTCCAAATATTTCTTCCTAACAGCGCAATGTTTGGCATCGTTTGTCTGTTTTACTCACCCAGGCAGGGAGGTGGTGTACACAGATGTGTCGCATGACACGGCGCTTTTCAAGGGCATCGGGAGTTCCCAGTATGACGTCTATCGCACCATGAAGGACTGAAAACGGGTGAGCATGAGGGGCCGCTGGTCTTGCTGGGAAAGCCGTGGCAACTGCAGAATCTCCTGCTGTCTGAATGGTTCTGAGTTTTGCATAGCGACATAGCCAGCTAGGAAAATAGTTTCCCACCTTCTCAAGCAATGATGCCATGTATTTCAACGTTGGGTATGGAGTGCACGGTGCCGTACTTTTGTCTATACATCTCCCCTTTTGAGGTTATGTGCAAGGAATGTGATGCTCTTTGTCGACTTTTGAAATAAGGGACGACACTATGTATGTGATAGGGTCCAATGAAATGACACAGAAAGTTAGAAAATAGACAATACATAGTTTTATTCCACATGTTATCATTAAACTCCAATGCAAGAACTTTCTTCTATCGGGTAGGTAATACATAAATATGACCATGATGCCGCGATTTGAAAGTTATTATGAAAATAAATGTAAACAAGAGCCTGTGTCTTATTTCAACCCAAACAGTGGGGAAAATGAGACAGTGTGAAAAAAAATTTGTCTCTTCAGGTGATCCAGTAGAAGCACTTGAAAGTGATTCCGTGGGCCCTCACGCCGTCCTCATATGCTCAGTTTTTACACTCCATGCATTGAATCCAGACAGGGCCCGGCTCTCTATTCATTCTATTGCTGATTGATTGATTGATTGATATGTGGGGTTTAACATGTCAAACCACCATATGATTACGAGAGACGTCGTAGTGGAAAGGTTTGGAACGTTCAACCACCTGGGTTTATTTAACGTGCACACAATTCTCACCACACGGCCCTACAGCATTTTGATCTTCATCGAAAAGGCAGCTGCTGCAAACAGCATTTGATCCCCCAACGTGCAATTCAGCACCCAAGTATCTTAGCCACTAGACCACCACGGTGGTGTTGATGGAAAACATTAATTATGCCCGCCTTTCACTAACACAAGAGGGGATTTCTAGTCGGGTATTCATGCAGCTGCCGCGGCGGCTCACGCCCTAGCCACCAATGCCTGTTGGGCTTGGAGGTCAGAGCAGCTGAGCAGGACAACTTCCCAGTCCTCTCGGGTGGGGCAGAGAAGGGTTGGGTAGGTCGGGCACTCTGTTGGTCTGAACTCTTTGAAATCAAACACCGTCAGTACTTCTTTAAGCTAATATTCTCTTTATGTAATCATTCCTGACGAACAAAGAGGCTATACTCGCGATGGACGATGTTGTTTTGGATCCGGTAAAGCTTGGCTTCTGAAGGACGCCACAAGGCTCAGTACTATCTCCAACCCTCTGTAACCTCGTTACGATCGGTCTGTATCAAAGACTCCGAAGTCTGTGGAATTATTCATACCATCTATGCTGATGACATCACCGTGTGGTGTACCAGCGGCAGCAATGGACGAATAGAGGCTGTGCTACAGGAAGCTCTTGAGGTCACGGAAAACTACCTTAAACCGACTGGTCTTCAGTGCTCATCACAGAAATCGGAACTGCTTCTGTACAGGCCCAATCACAGGGGCCCCAGACTAAAAGGATGGAAGCCATTAGACGATACTGACATTACTCTTAAAACAGGTGAGGGCCGCTTGATCACCAGGGTAGGCTCTCTCCAAGTCTTAGGTATGACCATCCAATCAAACGGCTGCATTAAATTGACAGTCACGAGTCTCGCCAGAAAAACTGACAATGGCATCAAACTAATAAGAAATGTTCCCAACAGGAAACATGGACTTAGAGAAGATTACCTCGTAAGGTTGGTGCATGCCTTTGTGATGTGCCATTTCATCTTCGTTGTAGCCATGCACAACTGGCAGAGGTCGGAGATTGATAAGCTTGACACATTATTTAGAAAGGCCATAAATAGAGCTCTCGGGCTTCCCATGTACACAAGCACGGATAGACTGTTTCGTCTCGGCATGCACAACACGCTTGAAGAAACTTCAGAGGCATAGGAAAGGGCGCAATTCTCCAGGCTCTCACACCACGCGTTCCGGTAGAAACATCCTGCGGGAGCTTGAGATTTCACCGATGCTAATCGATTCTCACTTATGCAGCGTTTCTTGACAACGACGAGAACAAATCACCGTTGTCCCCATCCCGCGAAGTGTTCAATCCAAGCATTACGAGGGTAGAAGACGGGCTAGGGCAAAGCTCTACTACAAAGGGCTCAAGAACAAGCCGGGCACTGTTCCTTCATGAATGTGGCCCGATATCCCGAAGGGAAAGCATATGCGGCAGTGAGCATCAACATCGAGGTTGGTATTACCAACTCGACAAAGGTCCGGACGATGGTGGCTGAAATAGCAGAGCAAGTGGCGATTGCGTTAGCCTTGCTGGATAACAGGAATTTCACAATTTACAACGACGCGAGATCGGCGATTCGAGCATTCTCCAAGGCGACAATGTCAGAACTAGCTTTGCAACTCCTTCAGGACAAACACATCTAGCCACACACACTCATTTGGTTCCAGGCTCATATGGAACGCATTGAGGGTACCCCGCCCAATCTCAACGAGTCAGCCCACATAGCTGCGCGAGTACTAGTAAACCGCGTAGCTATGGAGGGGCGCGGCGCTGATGTCTTGGAGAACCCTTACCCTCCTATCTCGTATAATAAATTGACAAAACATTTTACATGACATAAGACAATACCCTTCAGCGCACACAAAACTAAGCAGACCTCAGGCTCTGACTCTCAGGTTTCTTAAGGTCGGGGTGTACTCTAATCCTGCGCTATCGAACAAAATTTATCCCGAAAAACAGCCAACTAATACATGTTCCTACTGTCACAATATAGCTACCTAGGAACATACGCTCTGGCGGTGTCCCACGTTACGCTGTGGGGAAGTAATCACGCCGTCCAAATACGCCGTACAACAGCTATGGGCAGTCCACCGAGCCTGCGACGCAGCAGAGAGATTTGGTCTTTGTGTTCCGACGCGGAAGCAGCCCGGAACGTGGCTAAAGCACGTTCCGAAGGACCAAATAAATTTCAGTCTATCCACGCATCCAATCTTGTCTTTTTCAAATGCTTTGACTTCATTAGAGTATTGAACATTTCAAATCTCGATATGTTCTGACACCTCTTCTTGCCGTTTTGATGCCGAACTGCTCTGGCGCTTTTCGGCTTTCAACTTGGCAGCCGGGCTTTGTGAGGCGATGAAATTGGGATTTTTCATTGCTTGTTAGTTGAGCAGATTTCACAAATTTTTGAAGGGGCACTAACACACCGACACCAGCCGCGTAATTTTTTCGCTCGAGCTCTGCGAGCAATTAACTTTTAGAGATGAAAAAGGAGACAAGTACCAGCACTTCTCGTTGAAAAAGGTTTTCGGTGAGTAACAAGCACATCTGATTGAACATAACCATGGCAGTAAACTGCAAAATGAACACTACAAAACAGTGCAATAAAAATTGTGCGATTTTTATGCTTGCACCCAAAACGACTTAAGGCAAAAGCTGTCTAATTCATTTCGTTCAGTCGATTGCTGGGTTCTTCGCACCTCCCTGCAAAAGCTTTCTGCACCTAAAGTGGTTTTGCATTGATTTTATTACTGGAAGAATTCCAAACTTTGAACGCCTCACCTCGTTTTCTCGTCCTCCATGTTTGGTGGGCCGATATCTGAGGCAGTACAGAGCGACGATGCCGTATGATGACGAGATCATGGCACCGTCATGATAACGTTGCACATTCTGGGGACCCGTAATGTCACGATGACGTGTTAAGGTGACGCCATCACGCAGCGATTTTCGCATCATTCTTATTGAAGCCGCTGCGGTGAGATGGCAAAGCCGCCGACGGTAAATATTAATTTTAATGTGGAAACTTTAGAATCCTCATCAAGCGTGAAACTTGAACGTTTGCATTCCGCGCGGGTGGTGTTGAGTGATCCGAAAAGTCATCACGTGATGACAACGTATATGACGTCAGACATTGCTAAGAATTGATGAAATTAAACCATCGTGAAACTTAACGTGCTAACGCCATCACATGATACTCGAGCTTGGTCAAAGATGTTAAGGTCAAGGAGACAATTCCTAGTGAGTTTTGCACTGTCTTTGATTTTGGAGGCAGTGCAAACCTCATTAGGTGCAGCATCTTTTTGAAGGGTAGTGTGAAAGGTGGTGGGCATGGGCGACGGCAGGGGAATAGAAAAGGAGTACTGTCTTTGCAAGCCACACCAGCACTTGCCCGCACCCAATCTACACCAGTGCTCTCCCCCTCACTCAGCTGTGATGCAGGACGGGTTTGCAACTGCGGCAAAATCCTGCTGACACTCGTGGACTGACGGAGTAAGGTCAGTACACCAACTGAGAAGAAAAAGGACACGACTGTCATCTTCGAGTCGTCTTACGTATGGGAACCTGTGAGTTTTTATTGAGGTATCTAAGGCTCTCGTCTTAATAAATTCACGTAGTTAATTATATATGCTTCAGATGTAAAATCTCAGCCTCGTTATCAGTGAGTCAAAACACAAAGATCTTAACAAGGGGCAAACTTAGCTGAACCATCAAAAAAAATCTAAGTTTTTAAGTAGCTCCGAGCAGTGAACGAAACTTCCGGTGGCTGTTGCGTATTATCTCATCCAAGAACCGAGCAAGTGTGTCCGCCGTGTTCCCTTCTTATCCGGCATTTTCAACAACGATTACGGTTATTTGGGAAAAAACAGTAATTAGCGTGCGTAAAAGTCACAGCGGTCAGACGTAGCCGTTTCTTTCCAATAGCAGCACCTTACACCAGACAAAACCACTAGCGGTGCGTGATCAAAGTAGGGAAAAGCGGAAAGTGTCGTCTGCTCTGCCCGCCGGTGCTCCGCTCTGCCATAGTGCCTTAGCGACGGCTCGCTAAGGGAAGGCGCGGTGCTTCGATTTCTGGAAGGTGCCTTGCCGCGGTGGTCTAGTGGCTAATGTACTCGGCTGCTGACCCTCAGGTCGCGGGATCGAATCCTGGCCGCGGCGGCTGCATTTCGATGGAGGCGGAAATGTTGTAGGCCTGT